ACCCCCCCCCCCCCCCCCCCCCCACAACCTACCCATAACGACGCCAGATGAATTATGCAGGGATGCTGTCTGGAATAAAGCGATCGTCTTCCTTCAGGGAGACGTCCTCACATGCCTGCCCTCGACCGTGAAGGATGGTGAGTTGCAAGCCGGGCTCGAGGTCGATCGAAGCGGTCGACATGCCATGCTTTGGTCGTGACAAGCTCGCACGACAGTCGAACGTCGTCTGTTTGAGGACGAGAGTCGTACCTTGTTCTTCGCCCTCACTAGTAAACGCCGATTACGAACTACAACTCCACACACGACAACAGAAGCGAATGGAAGGCGAAAGCGCATCGATCGTGCATAATCGAACGAATTCCGCCAAGAGAACGCAACGAACCACTGAATCCGAACGAAAGGCTCCCTCGACCTGGAAGTCGTTTGCAAAGGTTCAACTAGCATGAACAGAATCCGATTTTTTCAACCGACCGGCTACATCAAAGGGAGGAAAGGAAACCAGTTCATGTTGTCAACATTTAGGGACACTCAGACAGCGACACGACTTTGTTACCCGTAGGGTAGCGAACGCGCGGAATGCGTCAGGCGAACAAGCGGCCCCTGCCCCTTCCGTGACCGGCTTCGGGAATAGGGCGGACGCGTTCGTTCATGGACGAGACAAAAACGAGTGGGGAGCACTTTAGGAACTAGGCAGCAAATGCATTTTCTCTCACAAATACACCTAATCCTAAAGGCACGACCTCGACACGGAAAGTCAATATGGCAGAAATGCCTCAAGGCGTCCCTAGGACTTTCACCGAAGATACCGCATCAAAAAAGTGGACTTTTACTTTACTGTACTGTACTGAGTACTGCGTTTCATCCTTTATAGTGTGCCATGCCATAAATATCTGTCAACTACAAGAAGACCTTTTAACTTCAGTCCACTTGAGTGGCCCAAAATATGTCAGCCTTGCAACCTCGTTCTTTCAATGGAAGTGGTATGAACATATTTTCACAGCTTGACAGAATCACGACGCGACGACGATCGAATGACACCGGGAGGATTTCAGAAAAAAATCTCAGCCTTCAGCTGTCCTTTTCATCCGACATCCTTTCGCAGGTGAGTGAGGGTATGACGGAAAAAAAAGGCCAAAAGGCCAGCGACTTTTAACCTGTATATGATGCCACAGAAGTCCCTCCCAAATTTAAAGACACAGGATCCAGGGGTGACTTTTTCTCACGTACGCATCGAGTACATTCACCACAGTAAACAACTTATCACGCCGAACTTGAGCACGTCCGCCGTCACTCTCGCGGCAAGCCTCCCGCGGTTCCACGGAAACGTGCGCCTGTCAAAGCGCCCCCCCCTCCCGCCCTCCTCGTGAACGGTTCCCTCGGCCGAAAAGAAGGTTGTGTGGCTCCTCGGGTTCCACGACTCCGGAAACTCCTCCCCGCCGTCGCACATCGTTGCTCCGAGCTGCACGGTCTTCGGGCTCGGGATGTTGCACGATCCGCGGGTGAAAGGGTGAAGGTGCCCGTTTGTGGACGATTTCGCGTTTTCTCCCGCTCTAAAATACATTCGCCGGAAACTCGTATCTTTGATTGCTCGATATTCTGCGCGTGCCGGTTGGGCAATCTCAAACGGCTCCAGGATATGAATTTCCGGGGTAGGTTTTCAAGGACAACAGATAACCCGAAATCAGTTTACGGGCAGGCGCGTCTATCACAAGGCTTTTTTTTTTCTTATTACGACAAACGTCAAAATACCACGAAAGGTGGTTTTTGGAATCTCTAGCTGCGGTGACTTTCCACACACGCATTTCTTTGGGGTCGGTTCAAACGCTCCCAAAAGGAGCCTGTTGCCGTCGAGGGTTGCCCCCTGGGTTTTCCGTCTTTCACGTCCCCCGATCTTTTTTTGATTCCCTAATGACTTTGTCTGATGCTTCTTGTATGCGAAATATGCAAATCGTGAACTTCGCCATGGAACTTTCCCTTTGACCTCCATGTCACAACTTCAGACCCGAATGCACAAGCCTCATTTCGGGGAGATGAAGGGGTCTTTAAGCTAAAGAGCTCTTCTTCCCCCGTAGGAGTCCATGTATTCTTAAAGGGCCATTAACTAAAGGAGATTTCAGCAATCGGGCCTTAATCTTCATCCTCTTCCTCCGGGTCAGCATTTACACTCTCAGGCGATGCCAAAAGCTCGTTTTCTGATGGTGCGGGAGGAGAGGAGATAGAAGGGGGAAGGAGGAAGGACGGAATACAGAAATTCGAAATTAGGTATACTCTGCATGTCTCTGCTCGCACAAGAACTTCTTCGAAGCAACTTGCACTGTGCAAAGAACGATGTGTTCCCAAGAGACCTTCCAAATTTAATTAAAATTGGTTCCTCTAGAGCAAGACTACGAGCAATCATTCAGAAGAAATCGGGAGTTTAAGATGGACGGGGGACTTTTGTCTCTTCGAAGTGGTTAGACTCCACCTGCTTCGTTTTCTTACGTAAACCGGGGGGGGGGGGGACTGGATAAATGTTGAGCAAACTCTCTTTTCATAGTTCATTCATCAGTCATTGAAAAGTAACGGAAAAGTTCACGAAAAGCATCTGCAAGAAAAAGCAAATAAAAAAAAAGAATTTTAATATAAGTTAAACATGCCCTGGTTATACAGGAACTCTTTTCCGTTTTCAATACCCAACTTTTCGAAAATTCGTCAAGGCCTTGCCTTGGGACTTTGGATATGGACCAGTAGTACTCAAATCCCGACCCCCGAAGGCAAAACGTACTTTCCAGTAAGGATGTAGTTAGTACCGGTACCAGTACACTTCTTTTTTCGGTGCAGCTCGTGTAGGGTCGGTCACGTCCGGATGTGGGCTCAAAAAGTTTCAGTACCACTGATGTAAATGATACATTGAAGATCTGTTGCCAACATTCAAGTGAAGTTTCGCGCCAATCGACACTGGCGGGAGAGGAATCATAAGTCCTTGGTCTTTTCCTGCCAGAACCGGAATATCTATCATTGATTCACTGTGGGACGAGAGTATCTCATCGCATCGAAGCTCATCGTCGCAGTGACCGCACCAATGACTTACTCATGAATAAAATTAAAATCTCGAGCACAGAAAGCTTCACATCCGACATTTCATCTCGCAGATATTTTATTATCATCTGGGATTAGTTTGAAAATATGTTTCATCTTCCGTTGCAAGTTAGCATCATCCGATGCAGTCGAAGCAAAGCGGATTAAGCCCTCGCTATCGTTCCGGGTACTCAGCGTATAATCACGTCACTTCGGCCTCATTAAAAATTACAAATGACGATGTTCATAGGCAGGATCAATTAAAGCGTTTGCGCTTTACTCGCCTCGCATTAATGAAGACGCGACTTACCGGCTCGCGGTCCCTCTCCCACCTGTTACGAACGGCCGCAATCCCCAGTAAATTTAAGGATGCCCGAAGGTCTGCAGCAGTTGCGCGGCTCGTGCAGGCATTAAGGGTGATCGCCGACCGGCACGGAATGTCCGGGTTTAGTGCAAACTCCGTTTCGCTCCCGACGATATTACGACTCACGCGGCGAGATAACATTTGGCCAACCGTTCCTCGGGATCGTAAGAGAGTAATTAACTCCGGGGCGAGTTCGTCACGACGACGTGCGGGTCGTCGCATCGAACGCACGTCCGTTACGCCTGGCGGGTCGACGCGAGGACGTATGACGTGAGATCTCGCGAATCCAACTGCAATTCACGTTAGATTCGATCCGGGTGTCGATTCGACTCGCACCAGTGACCACTCGTCGCTTCGTGTTAGCCCGTCGACTCACGATTCACACTCGGGTTCGTCATGAGACCCGGACGCAACTCACGATCGGCAGGCTCTTTGGAAGAGAGACTCGAATCCTCGAATCGACCGCGTTCCACGACACTGGGGAAGTTGCGGAATCTCGTCCCCCGCCCGAGGACGACAGGAACGGGATGGCGTCATCAACCCTGGCACAATACCAGTGAGAGAATGGACGTCCGGCCCCGCCCACTTTTCGTTCACGGTCGTCTTCCCGTTCCCATCCCGATTCAGTAAACTCTCTAGGATGGATCGAATGAATCCACCACCCTCTCCCTACGGACATCTAAGGCTCGCCACGAGTTTCCAAGACGCAACAGCGAATTTTTAAATTAAAAAAAAGTAGTCGCAATTAATCGCGATGCAGATGTCTCAGGCGTCGCTGCCGTTTGCATCCACTCCGAGAGCGGCTCGGGCGTCCCGCGGATACCACTAAGCATTTGGTTATCGATGAAAATTCGAGGTAGAGGATTGCAGAAATCGCATCTGAGAGGGGAATAAAATCCTCCTGTGTCATTCCTGGTGAGAGCGTAGTCAAAGAAGCAATGGGGAGAAGCAAGCATTCCAGACTCGATGCAGCTCAGAAATCAATTCCTCCCTTGAAAGCAACAACCCTCTTTCGAACTGGGACAGCCTTTATAACAGTCCACAAACTTGAATCGCTCTAAGAAAGAAAAACAACGAAATTAAGATTTATAAGTTAGCAGAGGCTCAGCCAGATCAATTAGCCACGACTTTACGATCTCTGAACTTCATGCGAGGAAGAGGCGCCAAAGGGAGCAGTCGTTTTCACAAGAGCAAAAAATAAAACAATAAAAAAGGTGTAGTTGAAGGTGATCGAAATTAATTGCTTATGAGGTTTTGCAATTCGATCCTCAAACATACCAAGCCCAGATTATCACATCTGGGGACAAATTTGTAACTGTTCTTATGAGCCAAGTTGAGTGATTATTTCACCAGCGACTTCAGCCTTCTTGTTTTTGATAGCGGGAAACTTCCACGAGAGGAAGGGTGATTTCCCCATCTAAATCGGACACTTTGAGTCGCAAAAAAGGGAAAACATTTTCTTAATTTGTGAGGGGGCCATGGTGCCCCTACGGCATAAAATACTCAACATCTCAGGAATTATTTGAGTTGCAATGATGTTCTTTAACTCATCTTAAATCTCTTGAAGAGATCGTCCTTTTTATGCATTCAAAGTTATTTTAATAAAAAAAAACATGAAAGTAATCTGATAAAGACCATCCTTTGACCTTTCTCTGCTGCAAAAATCCATTTTTATAATTTCCATAAATAATGAATCACTATACTTCAACCTATTCAAAAAACTTAATGAAGATTCTTTTGGTAGTTTCTGAATAATGGTTTAGAAAATGAATGCAGAAAATTGTACAGTATTGCACACAGGACAAGTGATCTTTATGTGTAGATTGATAAGACTGACTTAAGGTTCTCATGAAAAGTACTGACTGATAAAACTTTCAGTAATTTTTTTTGTGACTTACCAATTGTTGAAAATGCAGCTACAAGTATTTATAACTATAACTTGTGAGTCCATCATGTTTGTTGTAATGAAGTTTCAGTTTTCTCCAAATAAAAACTTTCATTGAGAATGGATCTACTCTGCAGTTTGTGATTGCACTGTACGTCAGTGTACGCCATCAACATTGAGTCTGAACACAAATAGGAAAGAGCAAGAACATCTGTTCTAACTTTTCACAATTTTTTTCTTCCTCACAAAGCTTCTTTCAACTTTGCTTGACATTGCAATTGGAATACTTGACAATAATCCCATCTACCAAAACTCAGGCTAATACCTCTATAGCCTATACAATGTCAATTTCTGTTCTTCATAACAAGCTAACCTTCAATGCTGAAATATCATCTACCAAAATTAATTGTAAACAATGATTCAACTGCACATATAGGCCCTAAATCTTAAAAATTAGAAACCAATTAGTCAAGTACTTATAATAGAGTGCTAACATCAAATAGGTTACTTTGAACTCTACATGAAAAACTCAAATAGACTTATATGCAGCACTAATGCAAACAATCAGAACTTAATGGCTCATACAGTATTGAGAGAATGTTATTTTTCCCCAAGCAACTCAAGAGGGGACTCTGAAAAAAAAACCTTTAAATCACAATCAAAAGAGGACAGAGCTTTGCCATTTTTCATGTAAGAAATTCAGTATTAATTAATACTAAATTCAGTACTTCTGGAAAATATTGCTCCCCTTCTGAGTAGTTGTCCCTGTAGATGAATCTTTTAGATACTCAATATAAGTTGTCAACTTCTAGATTAAACCTCTTCAATCATTCTTAAAAATTAGTCAATTTGGTCATTATTTTGACCATGGCCTTCAATCTATAAGTTAGGACACTCCTGGGAATAGCAAAGGCTAGGACAAGGTCTAAGCCTGCAGTTCTTGTCCCAACTTGCAATTACAGATGCTCAACAGATACTCAATGATGGACTTATGGTATAGTTTCTTATAAACTATTTAAATTTGTTGAATGCATGGGGGGATGAAGATGGAGACACTAATAGGCCATAAGGCTAACAGGTTCATATATGTCAGTTATAATTTTTCAGTTGAGTTTGATTCCTTAATAAAGTCTAGTTGACCCCAAAAATCATGCATGAAAGGAACCATACATCAATATCAGTAATTGTAAGTTTCTTACATTATCATTACTTTAGTAAAAAGCTCCTTTCCTTTTACTATTTTGCATAAATTAAAGTTTCATGTTGACGGCGGTTTTTTTGTTATGTTTGCCTCTTCTTACAATATTTTTTTTTCTGTCCATTGGACGATGTAAGGCCAACAGTGGCCTTTCATCCACCATGCTTTGGTCAAATATAATTCCATTTGAGAACCTGGCGAACTCAAAAAATTAAAACTATGTCTAGGCTCAGACTAATCCTAAAATAACAAGGTAAATTTCCAGCATACGAGCCTGGAACACTCATCTAGAGTCTGAGTAGCATGTTCTTCGAGACTGAGAGTTGAGAAATGACGAGTGGGACACAGAGCAATCACCGACCAATCGAAGACCACTAAGAGAACACGCTGGGCACATGCATACCAGCAGGCGACCATGTTTGATTGACCTCGATGCAGTTCAATATGGCGCCACTGATGGGGAGGCATGCCGGGCCCACGTGCTGGTGTTTCGGAATTATCCTACCAGGTCTTTCTCAACGATCATCATGTTCAGCTGCAATAGCTTGAAGTTTATGAAAGGGAGTGAATCGACCGAAATTGAGGTTCGAAATGCATCCTTGTAGGGCCTCCTTGCTCGCCACTCTTTCATATTCTTGGACCTCAAAGTTTGTCAAAAATAAATATGGTGTCCAAGACTGTCACGTTGTGATTCGTCGATGGCTATCCAATTCATCGAGATTCGCATCGACAGCCAAAACGGAAGGTATTGAACCAGCTGTTACCTTGCCAGAGAGACTAGTATCTTCAGCTCCCATTCAACTTCAGCCTTTCCTGCAACTTATGAGACTAGACAAACCCACTGGTAACATGAGCCACAAAGGCATCTCAGTGTTATTCTTAGTTATGATGTTTCTTGTGCCAGTCACAGGGATTCCTTTCAATTGCAGGGACATGGCTTCTATTTCTTCCCTGTGCCTGGAGTGCTGGTCTTGCTGCAGATCCAGGCTGTTTTCCTGATTTCAGACTCCTCTCCCTGTTTGCTGCTGGATCCATAGTCATGCGTGGTGCTGGCTGTACTGTCAATGACCTGTGGGACAAGGAATTTGACAAAAGGGTCAGTTCCTGTTTTTCTTTTCCTTTTTTTTAAAATCCTTTTTGGCCAACTATGAAATAGAGATGCTTGTTTTGGAGGTTGAACCATTCCTTCAATGTTCCAGGTTCATCGAACCCAAGAACGACCCCTGGCAAATGGAGCAATGCTTCCAGTCCAAGCCCTGGCATTTCTTGGATGCCAGCTGAGTGTTGGTTTGATTATCTTGCTCCAGATGAACTTGTTCAGCATCATCCTGGCTACTAGCTCTCTTGGTCAGTTAGCTCAGTTTTTTTTTTCCATTGAAAGTGCTGTAATTGAGTGAATGTATAAGCTCACAGATTGGTCATCTTTCTAGGTCTGGTTGTTGCATATCCCTTATTCAAGAGATTCACATATTGGCCTCAGCTAATGTTGGGGATTACATACAACTGGGGAACACTGGTGGGATGGTCTGCTGTTGCAGGATCATGCAACCTGTCTGTTTGCCTCCCCCTTTACCTTAGTGGCATCTTCTGGACTCTCTACTATGACACCATCTATGCCCATCAAGTCGGAATAATTTGGCTGAGATAATGAAGAGCAGGAATTTTGATACATTGTTTATTTTGCTTTCTTTGATCATTTTAGGACAAGGCTGATGATGTCATCGTGGGCATCAAGAGTTCAGCCCTCAAACTAGGGGATCAAACTAAGTTCTGGCTTATTGGGTTTTCATCATTGTTCATCCTCAATCAATTATTGGCAGGAATCAACTGTGGTCAGACATGGCCATTTTATGCCAGCATTGCCACAGCTGCAGGAATGCATGCACAGCAGGTCACCTAAGTTTCTCAATCTCTTTTTCCTAAACCTTGTACAAATTCTAAACCCATTGCACTCCTCTTCCAGATTCAAAAGGTGGATCTGAATGATGCCAACAGCTGCATGAACACTTTCAGGGCACAACGAAACATAGGACTGATCATACTCCTTGGAGTGATTCTTGGGACACTTACGAGAAAGTTTGAGTCTAGTGAGAGCAGTGAAGTGAATGAAAGGGTCTCTTGATCAATTTGCATTTAGAGAATAATAAGTGGCTAGTCATTTTCACTTCACAAATGAAGGTATATGAGAAATGTGTCCTGTAGCATCTGGTCATTTTGTTTGAAACTGGCCATGTCTGATGCTCTGCATTGGATCCAAAGACCTCTTTGGAAAGGGCCTATTCTTTGAAGAAGCATAAATTGAGGATCTGAGCTGGACACAAATTTCTAAATCAATATCAAGATGCTGTATTTTATTAAATGTCCAGCTTGATTGCTGAAGGCTGGATGTCATGAATTCTATCATGATATTCATCCTACCTTTACTTTGTGAAATTACAAATAATTTCTTCTCCCTAACTTGATGATTTGACTTAGAAATATGTTTATAGTTAACAGCTTCTTCTTGTGATTTCTTGTGGCTTCTTTTGAAGTTTGCCCATCACACCAGAAACACCCCTGTGTGATGGCTAATCAGGATGAGCTCAAGGAAAGATTGCAAAATCTGGGTGTTGGGGACTGTGCAATAGAAACAGAGCAACAAGCAAGGTGAGTTTGTTGGAGGAAAAAATCATTCTGGTTTTTCCAGCATGATCATTTCCATTTTCGTCATCATCAGAAAAAAAAGGGAGAATTTATCTTCTAAATTTTAGAAGATATTAAAAGATTTTTGCACTTGTTATATGGGAGTTTGGGTGAGGACAAAAGAACTCTTTTATTCTTTCTTCATGCAAGTATCCCTTTAATGCTCTTAAGCAGGTCAATGAGGAAACGAGAGGACTACTTAGAATGGCAAGAGTACTTCATGGCTATTGCATTCTTATCTGCCATGCGGAGCAAAGATCCTGTGACACAAGTAGGAGCATGTATTGTGAACTCAGAGAAAAAGATAGTTGGCATCGGGTACAATGGAATGCCCATCGGATGCTCAGACGATGAGCTCCCCTGGGATAAGACCAATCCCGATCAACTACTCAACAAATACATGTATGGTATGTATTAAGCTGATTTGTTTCCCCTTACTGTGGGTCAGTCAATGCAGTGAGATGTGTTTTCTAGTGTGCCATGCTGAGATGAATGCAATCATGAACAAGAACTCTGCTGATGTCAAGGGGTGCACCATATATGTGGCCTTGTTCCCTTGCAATGAATGTGCTAAAATTATCATTCAGGCTGGAATCACACATATTATCTACATGTCTGACAAGCACAACAACAAGCCTGAAACGATTGCATCCAAGCGCATGTTTGATCTTGCTGGCATCACCTACGTGTAAGGTTTTGTTTTTTCGAGCAAAAATAACTTTTATGTATGTTTATCATAGTATCTGTTGTTTTTCAGGCAATTCCAGCCCAAGAGAAAGAAGTTCCTGATTGACTTTGATGCCATCGACTCCAATAGGCCAAACTCAGTGCTCTAACCAACTCATCTTCCAAATGCCAAATTCTGTGTTCTAACCTGCTAGTCTTCATTTAACAGAATTCTGTGCTTCCAGGAATCCTCTAACCCCATGTTTTGAATCTTACCATGACATGTGCTTACAGTTCTTGATTAGTCTTGTGCAAGTGTTTTTGACTTCCATGAAAATCCACACTACCATTCATGTTACACTTGAGTCAAAGCTGATGCAATTTTTTTATAATCATAGACTGGATATTTGGTGGTATAGCCACAACCTCTTATGTTCAAGTTTCACTTTCTTTGCTGTAGTTGCTGAACTCAAGTTTGTGGATTTTTTTGGTGCAACTGTATTTCCATTGATGAGCTACTACTGCTACTGCTCAAGAGCTCACTAGCTTGAAGCAAAAAAATAAACTATAATAGTTTTGAATCCTAGGAATCTTGTTCACCTGACTTCAAATATGGCCTGCAACTGCATGCCCAGAAAATACCGATTTGGGAGGGGGAGAGGTTGACGTTAAAAATTGGTAACCCACCCTGCATATGTGGCCAAATAAAAAATTACATTAGAGACATTAGAGAGCGAGTTGAGGATAAGAACCCTTGCTGCCATTAAGAGCAATATTATCCGGTCCTTTGTAAGAATGACAAGAACAAAATGAAATGAGACAGTTGATGTGGATTATCCATGTCCTCGAGCAGGCGAACCGAGTTGACCTGCCTTGGGAGTTTGCTGGCTCAGATTTGTGTCAGTGGTGTCGACTTGTCGAACTGTGATGGCCTTGTTTAGCCCGGGGGAAATTCGTTTTACATCCTGCCTGGAGATTTTCGAGAAAAAAAACCTTATAATGTGCAATTTTTAAGCTCAAATGGTTTGATGCATGTCCCTTTGTCATAGTTTCTTTGCTTTTTGATGAAAAAAATTCTGGCAGCACTGCCGCACTCCTCTGAGATACCCGACGCCCCGGGGGAGGGAGACAATGACAGGCCTTCTACAAGGTCATTTGTCATGCCCCGGAGACCGGAGTTGTCACCCTTAGTGGGTGGCTCTCTAATGCCTGGATACACTATTCCTGTAGTTTATATATATATATATTCAATAGTTTCCGTACAGAAATATTGAGCGTATGATACTCCTTTGACAGAGGCACAATGGTAGTCTATGAGAGATCAGCAGGGAAACTTCTGATGCCAAATCAGCATCTGTTTCATGCTGATTTTTCCATATTCTCTCTGCTAATTTTTTTTCGTCATAACCTCACCGTTTGTGAGCTTTTTTTTTCGTCATTGCCTATTTAGTTATCACGTTATCCAAAAAAAATAGCATGCTCTGTAAGCAAGTCAAAATAAAATCCAACGACGATATCCACAATCCGTTTCTTTGATATTAAGCTGCAAAGCAGCAAAAAAAGCCTAAGTTGTCCTAAAAGTCTCCATTAATAATAAGCTTGATGATGGCTTGCTTAAGCCATCATCACTTACTATAGTGATACATCTCTTTTGGCAAGGACTAATGAAAAATAGCCTCCTACTAGTGCTGGTCGCAGCTGTGCCGACAGAACTCAACCGGGCTTGAGAAGTGGTTGTGTACATTTCCAGCGATCGAGCGTTCCTGCCATGCCACCTGGGCATACGGGTTTCATTGTACCACTCCACTGTTCGTGCTGCGAATCTCTCCCTGCAATCGAAATACTGGATTTTCCAACTCGAACAAGGACACGAGAAAGCGAAATGCGTCCCGCATAAGAGCGAAACGCGCGCGTTGGAAGCCGGACTCGAAGGAGAGCGAAACACGAGAAGGGCACGCCGCTTCGCCTCCGCGCTCGCTGCGGCTCTTCCGGAATGGAATGATGTGGCGCTGAGGTGCTCTGTTTCTTCGATGAGTCTGAGTCGTGGATAATGTACCATGCAAGCGAAAATCACTTGCATTCTCCTCTCCTCACAGAAAGTGATGTTGACTTACGAAAGTGTAAACAAAAAACATTAGCGGGAAATGAGGTCCGCTTAACATTTTTAGACAGACAGCTGCGCGGTGATGCAGTGAAAGTTGGGGCCTGTGCAACGGATCTACTTTTTTTTTTCACTCGAGTCTGTCGTTTTCACTTGACTCAAGTGGAAAACATTTTACGTTGCATGCAGTAAGCAATGAATTCTGTTTCTCCTGTTCGACATATACCACGTATGGTGTGCCACCGGAAAAAAAATAGAAAACGCCGTGGATGCAACGTCTCCCAGAAATCTGGCAAAGTGGTTATCATTATATTTTATTTTCATTATATTAATTATTATTATAAAGGGAGACTATATTACAGGCCTCTCATTGACACGTCATTGGAATAAGTACTTTTCAAGTTACAGGTGTTGCAACGACTTTTGGTATGGCCGTCGAAACTCTTGCTTCGTTCCATTCCCAGCCTGACATAGCAGTTTGCGACATCTTCTCGTTCGCAGACGGACAACGAATAAGAGAAGTGGGTGACGTCATTAATTGGGTCATAAATAAGCGAGATGGAATTTACACTAAGCCCCGCCCTTTTCCGTTCGTGGTGGCACTCCACGTTCCCGTCCTCATTCCACGATAGAAAGCATAGGTTACCTTTTTTTTTTTAAAGGGGGATGGCAATGTGAACTAGGCGTTCAAGATCCACAATTACGTATCAGCAGCCAGTTTCAGATCTGGAACGGAAGCGAATAATTTTCATAGATCTCAACGCGGGTGATGCGCGAACGGCAATCTGAGGGGAACCTCGGTTCAGTCATGCACAGTTATGGAGCAGTCTAGTAAACTTGCAAATCCCTTCATATCCAGATTTGATGAAAATTTCACCTGATTTTTGCTATTGCAAATGGCTTGCGTGAGGAATTTCAAGACATTCGACTAAACTTAGTCAACTGAGAGGGAAACACCCAATTGTTCGTCGTATCTATGGAGAGATACTGCAGTCGCCATCGCCGGCAAGTGTGGATTTTCGAGAAATTCGTGAAGCCCTTCAAATCTCGTAAAGAGCGTAAATTCGTTTTACAGCAAAGAGGATCATGCTGCTGAGTCTCTGGCAGTCCGGCGGTCTGGGTTCCTTCGGTGGACCGGACCGTATAGCTTCGGCTGGCGATCCTCGATTTGTTAGCCGGTGGGCGTCGTGAACTTGGTCAGCCCTCTGGTGCCGGTCGTTTCCCGCAGGTAGATCATCTCGAAGGTGTCCACGTTTTGCAGATGTGCAGGACAATATACAGGACAAGTCACCGGTTCTGATTTTCTTTGACCTTCCGACTATCTCTAAGTTGCAGTATTTCGTTTGAATGTGTGATTCTATTATTTTAGCCTGTCCCATGACACCAGTAGCGTTTCTGCTCTCTCAACGCCGACCCTCAGGCCGTTCAATAATCAACGGCCCATAACTGCTTGCAGTTACGTCTGATTTCATGCACGTAAACAGGTATCATCGGCGATTCATATATGACTCCAAGGTTGATCCTGGATTCAATGTCAATCTCCACGTTGACCGTTGAACAGTCACGCCCAGGAATCCTCCAACCGGTTTTTTATTTTATTATTGTCCCAAAACTAAAAAAGGAGATTAAGTGGGTATAGCCATTTCTCATATAGCCACATTTGACCAAGCAAACCCGAGTCAAAACCCAATAGAAGCCTCCATTACTCGATGTTGACATACATACATACAGGAGGAAGTTGTTGGAGCTCGGTAACACCCAGTGATGTACAGGGAGTTCGGTAAACCTTGAGTCGATTAAATTCTAATAGTTTGTGAGTACCCGAACTGCTTGAGTAACTTGGCATGAACCACTGAAATGGTCAGTTTGGTTACCTGGTCTAACCCCCTCCCACCGAATCACCTTTAGGGATCTAATTAAAGGATTAGGTTTATGCTTGAAACCACAACACTCAGAAAGACTGAGAACGTGAAATTCAGAAGGTAATTGGAAATATCCCAATTGTTACTGATTGAAATTGTTTTTTTATGCATTTCCAGTCATCATTTCCTTCATCACCAGTGGGACAACGAAAAATAGCAGGCATTGTCAGTGTCAGTCTGCAAAAAGATGTTGGGCAATATAAACTACCAAAGAAGTTCAAGACACCACATGATTTGTCCTTAATTCAGTGCAAGAATATTTAGTTTAACTTGGTACTCTTTAGCAAATCATCACTAAGCTGCAGTTATTAATATGCAGTAAAAAACGAGGCATCAATGTTTAAGTTACAAATAGCTCTTTAGAAGGAATAAAAACAATAGAGCAATTGGTTTGGGAATTCACAAGCTGTATTCACTTTGTATCAAAAATCGGTTTCTTGTGATTCTTCAGTCCTTCATTGGCAAAACAACATCCATGCTATATGAAGCCATTCAAAAGATTCATTTCAGAGCAGCAGCAGCAGCAGCTATATTTGCTAATTGCCCCACCAATACAAACATTGTTCAATAATGGAATTTACCCTGTGGTATGTGCCAGTGTGACATCACATCTGGAGAGCATGTCCAGCTCCTCATCATAAACTGGAAGTCCTCCAAACACCCTGAACTGGCAGGGAGGGGTGAATTCAGTGCCCAAAATGGCTGGTAAACATCTTACATCCATGCCTCATGGCAACCCCTCTTCCCAGATCATAGAAGTATTTGCACAAGCGTGCTAAAGCGTTTTTTGATCAAGCAATACAATTTTTTTCATTTGATCTGACATGCTTCAAGTAGATGAGTTTTGTCACATTGTTACTCTACATAATGCCTGTAGTTTCATTCAACGAAAAACTGTCAGACTCAGCAGTGAAAGGGTAATACTCAAATGCAAAACAAAATACCACCATTATTGTTTGGGATGCAAAGTATCAAACTTACATTGCAGAAAGACTCACAGATGAATAGAGTTTAGCCAATTAGTCCAACAAAAGAGTTTTACAAATGCTGCAGGACCGTTGTTCAGATTTATACTATCTTTTAGTGGTCTTCATAAATCAGAGGTGGTTTGTGGATGTAATATCTGGAGAGGGCAGTTCATGCCTTCAAAATAAACAGGAATTCAATGTTGAGTAGCTGTTTCTTTGGAGACAAGAGGCAAGCAAACAGCAGGCTGATAAACTACTCTATATTGGAACTTGACAAGGAATCAAAATCATAAAATTGCTGCAAAAAATTGAACCTTGATGAACACATGGTGGATACTCAGTCAATGAGCAATTTCCTCATAATTAGTTTGAGGAAGTTCCCACAAAGTGATTTTTCAAAACTTCACCAAATTACCTCAAGTTGACTCAAGAGGGCATCACAATCATGAGAAAGGTATTTCACACATAGACCTATATCAAACTTCTTTAGTTTTTTGCAGCACTGTCAAATATTAATGGGCATTCTAAATTCAGATGACCATGCAGCCACCTACTTCAGGCATGGTCTACAAATGAGTGAGACACTGAGACCAGCACTGTAAAATTTGAGCATTCAGGCCAGCCTCCCCACAGTATTAGCAACAGCATAGCATATTCAACAGAATACCCATTAAGCCACAAGTCAGAGAAGGCCTCATGGCTTTTGTATTCTCTGGATTATTCTTGAGAAAAACTAATAGTAAGAAATTGGTTTCACTTTTGGCATCAAACCAGGAATAATCCATGCTTCGAAATGTCTTTACAAATTTGATTAATTTTATGGATGCTGACAGTAATAGTAGTAATAGGGAAGTACATACCCTGTTAATATCTTGGATTGGTGGAAACTGGGCCTTACTGGATTCATGATGCCCCTGTCACCATTGGCCAATGAACTTTTGCTATGCACTGTTAGCAATCCTGCATTTGCAAAACTCTGTAATCCTTGCTGTGATGACTTCCACAATTTTTTGGCTTTGCTCAACTAGTATGGGACATGGAGATTAAAAAAATTCCCCCTAAGGAATCGACCTTGTCATGAAAGTTTGTAGCTAATCTCCTGCTCTCCATAAAAGTTAGTTTTTCCCTTTGGGAAAGAGAAATAAAAATTTAATTATTGGTAAGAAAATGAATGCAAGAGTTACACCTCCTCTTGAAAGAAAATATGCCAATTACAATCCTGTCCAGCCTGTGCACCTCCCGCTTCAATTGTCAGACGATATGTAACAAATATTTACTTGATCACTGTAAAATAGACATTCAAATAGATATGGGAAATATGCAAGCCATGTACATTTTTGGCAAAATTTAAACTTTGATCTTTTCTCAGTGGGAAAGGCATCAGCATCCATCAGCCTTTCTGGATTTAGACCCAATGCATAAGTAAAGGTCACAGTAAAGGTTGCAGTATTCTCCCACTGATCAAATCAGCCCTTTCAGACTTTGTAGAAAACAAATCCACTGTTGACAAAGGGAGAGAGAGAGGCTGCACAAAGCAACATTTACATGGTCACATGGAACACATTAAATGCCACACCTGGCAATCCTGCATGTGTACTCTCCTCCCATCTCTCAGCCTTTACCTACTGAATATATTCTCTTGCTTTCATCAGTCAGGAAACCCACTGGACTTGCCCAACTTGTCTCCCTTTCTGGTCAGAAAGAGAAAAAGGGTTGGGGGTGCATCCTCCCTCATATGGGAAAAAGTCTATTTGCATGTCAGCTATGCATTCTCCTCCTAAGGTTGGTTCATCATTTATTAGGCCAAAGCATTTGGAGACCACGAGGAAAGCTTCAACTCTCCAAAACACTATAACTACAACTTCTTGCTTTCACAGACAAGTTTGACCAAACTTGCTGCTTTCATTGTGCAAGATTGGGTTCATGTTAGTGCACAGATCTTAGAGGTCAGTCACAAAGTTTACTCCCTCCTCAGTCAGTGCACATCATACTCTATTCTTCTCTCTTGCCTATAAGCTCAGACTAATGCCAGAGGCAAGAAACTGCATGGGAATGCATGAAAGTGGGATCTTACCCATCTTGCACATTTTAGGTTTTCACTCTGACTCTTAACTGAATACTACATTCCATCCAGCATGCTGGGCACCATGTAATAGGTCCAACAGAAACAAAGCTCATGTTATGTTATCACAAACTGTGTCAACCATGCTGGACAGAATGCAGGAGAGGGTTAATGGTACTGAAAACTGAGGGTAGGAGGATAGAGGAAATCTCTGTGACATTGCCTTGCACTTCCCTCCCCTCTTCACGGATCTGCCCCTGTATCTAGAAGCTGAAGGTGAAGTTCCTCATTCTTCAATGAAGTCTCATGCAGGTTTCTACCATGGATGTCAGTCTCAGCTTACAGTGAACTGGTTCATCAATGCATGTTCATGCATTATATTTTGATCATCTTTCACAAAGCCAAAAAAAAGAAGGCTTTCTGAGAATATTAGATGACAAAACATGTTAGGAACTAGGCAACAGCAGTTGTATTTGGAGACAGACCACAGTTGCTGATTCCAGAATCCAAATGATGCATGGTGGGGCTTCTCTGTCTCACAAGAGAAAAGAAAAGAAAAAGCCAACATAACAGCAGACCAATCACAGTTACATAATCCTCAAATCTTCACTAAAGCTCCTTCACATCAGAAGGAAGAAAAGAAACTGAAAGGAAAAAAGCATCAGAGGGATAACAAAAAAATGAGGGACTTCCAAAATAATTCTAATTCCAAGTGCTATGAGACTTTATCAAGCAAGTATATTATAGAAAAAAAGACCTGTTGACCTGGATGTGTACTCTTAGAAGGGCTGATCAGACAGAAATGCCTGATGTCACTCCCTTCTCAAAAAAGATGATAAATAAAGGTGTTGACTCAAGCATGGCAGTCCCTCTTGCTTCAGTTATAAGATTTGAAGGAGAAAAAAGAAAAAACCACCATAGAGAAGCAAAGATGAGGGGTTTGAGAATGGAAGGGATAGAGTTTTAAGTAAAAGAGAAAGGCACACAGGATGAGAGACTGCTCCCAATCTTGATATGGAAGTCCAACCTTTCCTCTTCGTTCTTTTTTTCCCATCAGTTTTTCTTTTTTTTTTGCAAGACAAGATTTCAAGAGAGTGGAGAACTGTCGATGCAATTCTCATGAATGCAGTTTTCGTCTACATGATTCACAGTCACAGGGGTGGGGGACGAGAGTCGGAAGGCCTCACTGAGTGGGAACAGTTGATTACACTGTTCACTGAATGTTCTCAACTCCTCGGGATCACACTTCCCAAAGCTTCCCACTTTCATTTCTTCTAAGATCCTTTCACAGTTCTAGATGGAAAGAAGGTAATCAATAACTGTCACAGAGACCAAAGAAGTCTGAATTCCAATTTACATATGCTGAGTTAAGCATGAACTCACAGGTAAAGTGATATTTTGAAGTCCCTCTGTCTGCAGTGATGTGACCATTTTCCAAGCTCTGGAGTGCTGTGATCTATCTAGATGAAACAACATCTTGGCACCTGCAAAAAAAAAAAAAATCAAAATTAAGAATATAATGCAAGGGAATTAAACAATTAAAATAGAATAGGCATGAAAAACATGATCCCAAAATTGACAAAAACATAATAAAGAACTAATCCTGGCAATCTCTTGACCATTCAGGATTCTCTCCTGACCTTCAATCAGATGAGACAGTGAGTTATGATGGGTCTTGATGAACTCCTCATTGAGGTCATGGGCTGACTTCCCACAAAATATGAACTCTGTCTCTTTGCTGACAACATGCTGCATGGGTTCAGGCCATGTTTCCATCTGTTCCTTGGCCAGCTGACAGAAGCGAATCAGACACGAATGAAGCCCTGGGTGGTTGGGGTCCATCCGGTATCCTCGCTTCAGGCTTTGCAGCATCAACAAGGGTTTCTCTGTAGAATCATAAAATTTCTTTATCTCTTATAACCCATTCCAAATTGTAACCTTATGCAATTTTTAAATCAAAATTTGCTTACTTTTTCGGAAGAATATCTCAAAGGCCAGAGTGTGAGTATTCATTTGATTTGGCGACAGTTGCTGGAGAGGTATGAGGAACTTCACTGCTTGAGACAATGGATCTTCTCCCTGCAAATCCAGCAACTTTGTTTTCAAAGGGGAAAAAAAATCCTGATGACCAGAGGAGGATTTAAAAACAAAGGTGGGAGACATACACTGGCAAGTTTTTGAGGGTCCAGATCATCCTGCTTTGGCTTGTCTGCATCTCCTGTCCCACCCTCGTGATTTTGCTGAGGTCTTCTATCCTGCTTGGATGCAGCTGCAGCTGCCTTCTGAGCTGCCAACTTCTTCTCTTTCTTCTCTTTGTTCCTCCTCTTCTTCAGCTCACTTGGTGATAGGTTCTCTGCAGAATAAAATAAAGCCAGAGATTTTAATTTTAGTATCTCATAGTTCCTCATTCAACAATACATCAGCATTCTCTATAGGGAATCAATATTGGGGTTAAGTAAAGTGGGAGAACATAGAACCTTAGGAGGCTTGGCTAAGCCCCTAATTCAAAATTATCATTCAGGGAGAGAGATAGCATTTTTCACAAATGCAGTAATGATATAATTGACAAGATGAAGATCATCAGAAATTGGAACTGAAATTGCTCAGAAATTGGGAATAAGTCTAAAGATGCAAAAAAATTATCCATTTTGAAATTAAAAATAATCCCAATAAAGCGGAAAAGAAAAAGCTAGACACCAGCATGATAGGTTTCAGGAGCACAAATTCAAAATTCCTCTAAGGTCCTTTCAATGAAATGTCACAAGGAATCTCTCAATTAAACATTCCCACATTCACTATAATGACCCCCACATCAGCCCCAAATGCAGGGGCAGTTGATACTACCCCCTTAACAATAGTATGAGTGAAAAGAATTCCAAACTCAAAGAGCAACACAAGAAGGCCAGCAAGCCAAGCTCTACAGGCTGGTAATGCATGAAACTAATCCTATTAGCCATAATACCATTCAGCATTGCTCAGAGTTGACCAAAGTCTGCAATGCCACTCTGACCAATCCACTCCTACTCTAATTGTGGGCTGCATGAACTTGGACATAGCAGACAAAGTCGAAATCTGACTGTAACCTATTAACATACAAAAGTTGAAAATTGGCAAAAATGGCCCGTATCACCCCCTCATGGTCTAATATTTGATTTTTTTCAAATATAGCATTAGTACTTGAATAAATACTAGTATTATGCATATATACTAGTAACTAAAAGAAACATTACAAGGTAATTTAGAGCTCACTTGCTTAGTAAGAGTTGTGATAGCAGTATGTCTGTCCTTTTCTGAACAAGTCACCACCAGTTGAACATTGGGAGTGTGCTCATAACCTTTGAGCGCTGTGCACGTGTCACATCAAGAAAATACCTAATTAGGTCTTCTCCATGTAGACCCAAATGCACAAACCTCATTTAAGGAAGATAAAGAGACCTTCAAGCTAAAGAGCTTTTTTTTCCCCCATAGGAGTCCATACATTCTTAAAGGACCGTTAACTAAAGGAGGTTTTAGCATTCGGGCCGTAAAGTTAAGATTTCCATGAGCGAAAAATGGGCTGATTCTACTGTGCATGTCATACAGTCTCCGAAAAACATCAGAGATATATACCAAGGCTAACGCAGCAACAAACAGACGAGGCGACGAAAATGATCCAAAAGGGTGTAACACAACATGTGTTACACCATCTTGGACCTTCTTGAAACAAGCTGGCAGAACAGTTGACCTTGAGAAATGTAGCGATTCTCAAAGTTAAGCGTTCTGCCAGTTTTGATGAAGTGTTAATTCAATTCGGTTTAGGTTACACGAGCTCATCCGAGTCGCCGTTCGACTTCCTGTTGCGTTATATTTTCATGGAGCATTTCCGTCGCCCCGTCCCTTTGTCGTTGCGTTAGCCTTGGCATAGGGTGGGTGATACAAATGTCGACCCTGCTATAAATTCACCTTCACGCTACATATTTCAACGTAATCATAAGCACAAACAGCCTTTTTCAACCAAATTACACCAATGCTTGGTCTCTAAACGTGAAAGGGCAGTGTGTGCATTTCCTCTCGATTGGCATAGATAAAAAAAAATTTTTGATTTCGAACCGTGGGTGAGGGGTGGATTTTGACCTTAAGGGGGTCGGAATTTGTATCACCTACCCTACTTCTGATGTTTTTGCATGGATGAGATGCACAATGAAACAGCCCATTTTTGTCCATGAAAATCTGAACTTTACATAAGGCATGGAGAAAACCTAATCAGGCCTTTTCCTGGCGTGGCACGTGAACAGCACTCAAAGGTTGGCGAGTAAATGCTAATAATGTTCAAGCGGTGCTGGCTTGTTCAACAAAAGACAGATATAATGCTATCACAACTCCTACAATGCCCGCGTGCTCTAAATTACCTTGTAACGTTTCTTTTGGACGGCAACATATGTTAAATATTCACATTTATATGTAATTCATATAATTAACTTAAAATTCAACTAAATGCCTGATTATAATCTTTGACTTGCCAACCATGGAAATTGTCTATGAATGATATACTTAAATGTAAATTTCCAAAACTACTCTAAGAGACATAGAACAAAGTCAAGGAACATGGCTGCAGATATGCTTACGCCACTAGCTGTATTCGCCACATGGTGAGGATACAAATGTCATAAGACCCAATTTTTTTTAACGCTGATAGAAAATGGTTTGAGAGTGCACTCAAAGCCATAAGGTAAGTAGCCTAAGAAGGCAACAATTAAACTAGCACTCTTTACGGGTCTTGTCAAAGAATAAGGTCACTGAGGGCAAGTCCTGAACTCAAGTTCCAAATACCTCAAAAAGCGTAAGGAATAGATTTGAGTAAAATTGGCACGTTCCACGTACGGCATAGGACTCGATCCGTCCTTTTCCATGACTAATCTCACCATAATATTTGTTAGAAAGGGGCTACCTCATCAACGCCGCCTCCACAAACAACCAGCATAATGCCTGCCATTTCACCATCGACCACCAACCACAAAAGCCTACATGGTAGACATTCAGCCAATATAGTCTTTCAAAACAAAATACCTGACCCTGAATCCAGAGAGACTTTTGGGGCTCCACGTATTATCATGAGGGAGAGTCTGAATGCTGGAATAGATCATTTTCAATAATTTAAGATTAGGATTGAAACAATTACTGTACCCACTAATTCAGCATTGGGTGTAAACATCGCTTCTCCGCTGTAGCAAAAAAAGGACCTCCACAAAAAAATCATTAGATGCAAATAGGTATTTAAAAGAAAACTGAAAAGAAGTTCAAAATGAAAATACCAATTAATAAGTGAACGAAATTAACCAGCCCTTAGCACGAAGCTTTCAGCCTTGACCAATATTGGTCGTGGCTTGTCGATTTAATGCAATTTATTTCAGCGAATTCCTTATTCTGGATTTTGGTCAATCCTGGCGCCGGATCAAGTGACGGTGTAGACACAATAAATCCGAGTCTTTCCATGGGGGATGAGGTCAGATGTAGATCACTGGAGAAAGGAACACAAGAATGGGGACTCGCTCTCTCTCATTTCCACGTTTAACTTCCTGCAATTGGAGCGAAGAAGAAAAACGACGGAGAGCAAATTGGACTAGCCCTTCCCCCCCCCCCCCCCCCCCCCCCCCCCCCCCCCCC